AACACTTACTTTGAGAGATTTGTAATACTTCGAGATAATAATTATTATTTTTTATTAAATAAATGTTTACTTTCTATTTTGTTATGAACTCGGAGACCCTCAAACCTTACATTAATGGATTCAGAAAGAAAAGATCTATCTGAAAAAAAATATAAATATAGGGTGATTCATTTAAAATTTCATCCGATGACGTCATATCTTGATAAATATGACAGATAATGAAAATCCCCAAGCGTCATTAAATAGTACATAAAATATACAAAAAACTTTATTTGGGTTAATTTTCAATACAATCCATAATTGAGCCACAAATCGGGTGTTCCGCCAATTATGCCCAACCCTGTATAAGTGCATTATTATAATACGGGTGTAGAAAAAAAAGTCAAAGTAACAAAAACAGGAGGCCAATGTAAACAAACAATAAACGGTCTCATGACATTTTACATTTTTAAATAAACTAGGTTTTTAAAAAATATTTTCTATACCTGTTATTTTTTATATTCATTAATGTTTTTCTCATCTATAGACATTATCAAGCTTTTTGGAAAATCTTCTGCAACGCGCATCAAAGAGTGTGAGAGATCAAAGCCACGCTCGAAAGCAAAAAAAAATGATTTACTAAGTTCGAAAAAATACACATTACTTTAACAGGTTAAAGAGTTGTTAACATGCTGGAATTCATTATTCTTAACTTGAAGATGTATTCATTAAAAAAACTCCCGTGCCATATAAAAGTTAATTTATAATTCAAATTTCATTGTATACCTTTTAATTTCGGATATATTTTTTTAATAAACAAATGATAAAATTAATTTAAAAAAATTGTGCAAAATTACTGTATGTAAAAATAACAAAGTGTACAGACATAAAACAAAATAAATTCAAATCACTTGCGTACGTTTATCACTTGTAAACAGTAGAAAAGGATATACATTTTTTTGGTGTCGCCCTCTAGACGAAAAAGCTTTTAACGTATTTTTTTAATTTTTATTAAGAAAAATAAATGTTCCTGTAAAAATTAAAAACATATATTGTTCTCTTCTAGCATTTTTATTTGTTTTTTTTTTTTTCGGTAGAAAGATATCTTCTTACATTTTCTCAAAATAAACCGATTCAAATGTTCAAAAAGTGACTCCTTTACCTGTACTTACATAATTTTTCAAAAAATCAAAAATAATCCGTAAAATTGGTGTACTATGAAACCCATTGCATATTATATAAATATGTCTATATTAGTATGACAGAAATGACTTACGTAAAATAATAAGGTGTACCTACAAATACGTAAACTTTAATTATCCCTCGTAAAAATCAGAAAAATATTTTGTAAATTGTTTTCATTCACAAATATTAATTTCTTAAAAATCTAACAGAGGCGCCACTTGCCAGACGAAAAATCTTGCAATGTAAGGGTTTCGTAGTACCCCACTTTTAAAGTTTATTTTTGAATATTTTTAAAAGAAAAAAATATGTACGTGTAGATAAAGGTTAAATCTATGCTCCTCTGGAACCACTTTTTTAAGATTCAATTTAGCTTTTTCTAAAAAAAATTGAGAAAATGGATCAAAAAAGTCGAGTTTTGTGTTTTTTTTTTTTTAGAAAAAACAGATTGAAATTTTTAAAAAGTGTTTCCAGAGGAGCACAGATTTAACCTTTACCTACACGCACATATTTTTTTCTTTCTTTCAAAATATGGTAAAAATAAACTTTAAAAGTGGGGTACTACGAAACCCTTGCATGCTCTGCTCTAAAGCCAAGTAAATACTCCTCTTAAAAATGTTTTGCTATCGTGTATATAGGGTGTGCCAAAACGCCAGTTTACCATATTCTCAATTTTTTCAAATTAAATACTGTGTATGTTATACTATCAATTAATTAATTTCTTTACTTTTTATATTGTTTGACATTCTCTATACCGAAATGCGTTTTTTAATTTTTAATTTTATTTACAATTTACAATTTACAATGAGAAAACCATCCAATACTTTTGAGAAATATTGGAAACAAAAATTGAATTAGCGTTTGTCTATAAATAAGTCCATTATTGGAAAAATATTAAAGATTATGTAAATGTACATTATAAAACCATCAAAATTGTGAGAAAATAATGGGTTTGGCTATAGGGAATGACAAACACAACTGAAAAATAAATGAATAAATGTATAAATTGGCGATATATGATTTAGGCTATTGCGTTTAAAAAAATTTAGAATATTTTACTCCGCGTTTTGATACACCCCAAATAAGCATAAGTCTGATTTCTACAGGGAGGTACTCTTCCCTGTAGCTTGGGCAGCTTTTTTTAAATAAACACTTTATACTTCGAAAATATTATGCAATCAATATTTTAATATTATTGGAATTAAGATTTGGATATTGTTTTGTTAAAATAGGCTGTATTAATGATATAATGCTTTTTGAAGTAAGTTTTTTAAGGTCATCAAAATAAATTGACAAATGACCCGAGGTACACAAACCTGCCTTGTACTGTGAGCAGTAAGATATTGTACTTTGAGCCATATCTACTAGAAAAAGTAATTATAAAACTAGATTTCAAAAAAGAATTACATTAAAAAGGTAATATAAGGATAATAAATCATTAATGGTTATTGTTCAACGAGATAAGTGCCAACATTTATAGAAAAAGACAATTGAAAAGCCTGTCTTCCTGAGTTTCCCACGCTCCTTAAATACATTTAACAAAATCTTTATTAATACACCACTACATGTAATATACAGGGTGTTTTTTAAACATGAGGCAAAAATTCAAGGGGTTGTTTCTTGGACTATTCTAAGAATATTTTGTCCTTTGATGATTTTTGAAAATCCGTTTTGTTAAGTGGAAAAAATAGCCGTTTTTAGTAATTGGAATGTTGTTAAAAAATAATAAAAATAACGAATTTTTAAAAAAGTTGTATGTTCTTGGTTAACACAGCATTAAGACTATTAATAAATTTAAAAATAATAAAAATAGTTTTCTCGATTATGTTGTGTGCCCTGTATCTCCTAAACGAAACGGAATTTTAAAAATAATCAAGAAACAAAATATACTTAGAATCAGGGGGGCTTATAACATATACGCGTTATATCAACAGGTTACTGCGCAACACATCCGCGCATACCAGTCCGTTTTACAATAACAGAATGATATTGAAATTTAAAGTACACTGAATAATTGAATAATTCAAACATATTTCGCTTAGTAACAAAAGTAACACACGGAAAGTATTGTTTTAAAATTATATATTTATATAAATACTACAATTATTTGGAAAACATGAACTGTTCAATTATTTGTACAATGTAAATCTGATTTTGGGATTGTCGCCCGATCAAACCGATACAATAACAAAACCGAACAAAACAATATGGTTGTGGTTGCTGAATAAAACGTGGTAAGTACTTTTACTTTATTTAGTTTTAGTTAAACATGTTAAATTTAAAATTAAGCAAAGGTATTTTGGTGTTTTAACATGTGTTTAGCAGGTCCTGTTCGTAATAAATTCATAATATCTAATTTTAATAGCGTTGTTTGTATAAAAGTAAATACCATTTATAGGTTACAAGACTGTGCAAATTGGCTTTGTCTTTAGTGCCCTTGGAAGCTAAATTAACACTAAATGAGTAATACTAAAGTAATATTGTTGTCATACCATCAAACAAATTACCAGTGAAAAGAAAGTTACATTCGATCAAAATTTCATTTAATGAAATATAATTATTGCCTAAAAACAACGATTAGATCTTGGATTTTTAAATCAAACCAGTGAATAGTTAACTCCAAGGAAGAAAAAACTTTATTTCATAATTAGAAAACAGCAAAGTAAAATTTGCGAATCAAAGAAGGACCTTAAAAAAGGACCTCAAAGCTTGATCCCGCAGGCATGTTTTTTAAAAGTACTACAGCTAATTAAAAAAGATGAAGGGACTACTATTATTAATTATTAAATATTATAATGATAGTATAAAACTGTGATAATGTCTAAAAAAAAAGAGATTCAAAATGATATGAAGTTAAAATACTGCTTTGAATTTTTTCTGTTTCAGATTATATGGATGGTTCTTCTTCATGTGTTTTGTTACCTACCCAAGTTTACAGAAATTTTTAGTTATTTTATTAAAATATTGTTTATTTAGAAAATTTATTATAAATTAGTTTTAATGATATAATAGATAATAAAATTATTTAATATTACATTATTTTACCCTTCCTAAAATTATGGGTCATAAAATTTTACATTTTGATTGGCATTTTGTTACATCTTGCACCTTGTCTGTGTTGTAAAAAATGCCAATAAAAATGCAAAATTTTAGTTATACTAATTAAAGTAGAGCTACAAACAAAATCCCGCTCATTTTTAAATAAAATAAAATATGCAGGTATCTATATTACCGACTGAGAAATAGTTGCACAAATACCTCCCATATGGCGCTAATAGCAAACATGTTGCCATATTTATACAAAGAAACGGCAACTCTTAATTATCCTTCCTCCATGCTTAGAATAGTCCAAGGAACAACCCCTTGAATGTTTGCCGCATATTTAAAAAATACCCTGTATAGTTCAGAAGAATTTAAAAGATCGTTTAGCCAGCAGATAGTCCAAGTTTATAACAACTTGCCATATAAATTCAAAAATATGCCTATATTTAAATTTAAAAAGATTCTAAACATTTATTATCTAAGTACCTACTAATTAGAAGCATTGACGGCGGGAGGGGGGATCTTGGGGGACTTAGTCCATCTTACACACTCTAAATTTAAAAAACTTCTATTTGGAATACGCAAGTATATATTTGCTCAGTTTTAGATCCTTATATAGAGGTTTCTTCCTGTAAAAGAAGAACGGGTTCCTTTTTGGTAATCTCCTTATAGGCTATAGGGACAAAATACTTTTCTGAATCATTCAAATAGAAATACAGAGAAATTTATCATTGTTATTTTTGGTTGTCTTATAAAACTCGTATTGTATCATGCCTGTATAATATTTTGCTTTTCAGTTTAATAAAGATGCTCAAGACCAAAGAAAGCCAAGACGCCCATTGATCAGATCCTCGTCAGCTCCTTGCAAACCAGAACACTTAAAATCGAAGTTAATCTTCCAAAAGCACAGGAAAACGTTCAAGAAAATTCAACTGAAAACCACGCCCAAAACGTACGACATAGACAAGAACGAAGAACATTCCAAAGGACAAAACGATAGTCCTGTGCCAGGAGCAGACGTGGTTACGATGGTGTCGTTGACTAGTCCTGCGGGCAGTGATTGCGAAGAGGAAGAGGCTGAGGATGTTAAGCTAAAAACGAAGAATGTCAATTTCGAAAAAACAACCGAGCCAAATAAACCCACGCCTAAAATTATGTCCTTGAGGAAGGCTGTTAAGACTGGTAAGTACTATTACGTAAAAATAAAGGCCTCTAGTTTTCTAAGAAAACTTTCATTTATCCATTTGATTTTATTAAAATTCTAGTATTGTAGATAATTAGCGCTCATAAGCAGCCAGTAGAATTATTACAAATTGTTACATTTTCTAGTACAACTTTCATTTGATTTGATTTAGGACCCGTTGTGATTTGTATATAACGAAGCAAATATTTTCTTAAAAAAAATTATATGCTTTCATATATATTTTCGAAACAAGGTTATAATTTCAATGAAGCATTTTAATTGTTCATTTCAAGATAATATTCTCTTGATCCAGAACTGAATTACTAATAGCAAAAATATGATTGCTTCATTGTAGGAATTATGATTCTTACATGAAGACTTTTGTAAACTCGGTTCTTTCTTCAAGAATTTCGTTATTGTTGGTTTTTCTATTCAAGCCAAATGTTTACTTGAATTTAAATATTACTTTTGTCTTCTGTTTAGACTTTAAATAATTTGTAGTTATTTTCATTGTAGACCATCGTTTTGTCTTAAATTAAGAATTTAGTGGATTTACAGGGTGGTCCCTATGAAGGTATGTTCAAATATTTGAAGGTCTCATTCCTTGGTAGATTTCAAGACTAAAGTTAATATCAACAATATCAAAATCATATTTATTTGAGATTCAGGCTGTAGAGAATTAATAAAAAAATGTTTTTTACCTTTATTTCAAAAATAAGCCTATTTGGAAAAACGTTAATTTGACGCAAACGTATACTTAGGGACCAAGCTTCAAAAATGTGTAACAGTGTAAATTAATTTGATCAATTCCTGATGATGTTAACGAGGCTAGCGAAACGCTTTTCGAATGAGAATTATTTTGTTATTATTTATGATGTTGAAACAGTTGTCTCTTTTTGTGCGTCCAAATGAGGTTTGACAAAAACTTCAGCGATTATGTTAATAAAACAAGAAGTTAATAAAAGATTATATTAACACGTTTGCGACATCGTGACCCACGGGTGGGTCACGCGAGGTTCTGCTAGTAAACGTTTGTGCCCACCGGTGGGTTACGGTATATAATGAGTTTAATGTCTCCTAAACGTCTGCGTTTAGCTTAGAGGATATTATTATTGTGCCTACGGCTGTAAGACAAGTCTACTTTGCTCTGTACAGTGCGGTTCAGCAATTTGGTTTACTATGTGAAAGAAACATGATTTTTTTAAATTTTAGTCAAAAAATAACGAACAAAAGTACTATAAACTATAGAAAAACATTTTATTTATATCGTAAAGTACAATGCTTATATCGTAAAGTACAATGCTTATATCGTAAAGTACAGTGTTGCTCATAAAATACTTCAAAAACTAAAAGAAAAATGAAAAATTAGCTGAAACATTTTGATAGCTCGAAAAACAGTTACAAACTAAGAAAAAAATTAAAATTCATGAACATTTTTAAAACAAGGAATACACATCGTTGAATTTCCATCGCAGACTTCGCAAAATGTTAAAACTTTTGGCGTATTCACTCTTGCCTCCTTACTACCTATCTCCATCTGAATTATCTTATAACGTTCAGCGCAACGTTTTCTGCTAGTCCTAGCCGTGCCTTCATACTTTCCAATTCTATGACTGCTTTTTCCCCGTTTTCTTTTTTTTTTTCTCTGCTCATGATTTTCATTCCCGGTATTATCCCCTCCTCTATCCATTTCTATAACCTCATTTAATAATCCTTTAATTATTTTCTCCTTAAAAGCAAGCATATCGAGTGCCTTATCTTTACCGTTGCCATGGCAGTTATAAACCACTAAAGAGTTTACAACGCTTGTTCCTAGCATGATCTCAAATGCAACCTTTTTGTACCATTTGACGCTTTTCATTAGGGTTGAGTAGTAGGACGACATCTGGTCCGATACATCAACGCCCTTTTTAGCCTTGTTATAAGCGATAACGGCGGGGGGTTTTACAATATCAGTTCCTCTTTTTTCGTCTCAGTTGCCACTAACTGATCAGTTTGATCACAGAACACTTACTCTTAGAACGGTATCTCCCATGTTAAAAAAGGATGATAAAATTTTCAGCGCCACCATGCGGACGTGGTTAATTTTTTTTTCAATTAAGTCCTTGTCTGGTAAGAGGCCATATGAAAGAAGAGAAAATAATAAAAAGAAGAAGACAGTAAAAATTATCCGCATTAAAAATGCAGTTTGTGTGAACAAATCTTAATTTGGCTAACAGTTTTTAGATAAAAAAAACAAGCATATTCAAAAAATAAATTTATTAAATGATATATATAATACAAATCCAATATTTAAAAAATGTAATATATATGAAAATTGTATTATGTATGAAGTAGCTGGATGGCTGCTACATATTCCAGGATACAACACTGTTCATCATTTTGTGAAGAACTTTATCTGTGAAAAAAGAAAGACAGTATAAGTACAATCTCATTAAAATAAATGGATTAATAAAAAATTATAAGTCCGAGGAATACTTTATTTTTTAATAAGTCCAACATCTACGATACAGCTTTGCAACCCCTAACGTCATGAAACAGAAAATACACAGTATATGTCGCGTTTGAGAATCCACATCGGATGCATCTGAGATGTAGTAAATCTTTGATCACGTGATTCAGTATACGTAAATATAATGGGACAGATGTGTCCGATGTGGATAAAAAACGCTCGAGATGTAAAAAATGCATCCAATGTGGATTCTCAAACGCGGCAATAAGTATAAAATAAATGAGTAGAGTACTAACTTTCCTTCTCGAAAAGAAGTCCAACATATATTATTAGTCTGCTTCTTCTTCAACGATACAGCTTGGCAACCCCAAACGTCATGAAACAGAAAACACACAGTATAAGTATAAAATAAATGAGTAGAGGACTAACTTTCCTTCTCGAAAAGAAGTCCAACATATATTATTAGTCTGCTTCTTCTTCGAACCTTTACTTGAAGTAGAAGGTGTTTGATCAACATATTCAATTTCTACGTTATTTGAGGAAAGTCCATCCGCTACTCTTCCAGGAACTGCTGGGAGGAATAGCGTTGGAAATGCTTCAGGTGTTAGACCTCGACGAGAGCCAACTACTTTATACTTCTCTTCAAAATGTTTATGACATACTGCAAGGTGGAATAAATTTGTAGTCTTGTTTTATTATTAAATCTTGGACAAGGAACAGCAAGTGCCCAAATATCAAATAAATCGTAGGGTGGGGTAGGCGATGCATCTTGTTGTCCACATCAAGGCAATTCGGTACACAACATTTTCTATAATTACGCATCTTTTTGGAAAAGCACAAAATAACAGCGGAAAAAGCACAAGATAACAGCTCAAAAAGCACAAATTTATAATGGAAAAACAAGCTTACTATCAGTGGTCAATTAAATCAATTAAGCAAATTGTAAATGGAAACACAACTGAATACAACCAAGTCACCAATATAAATAAACGTTTTATTTTTCTATGTAAATAAACAACGTTCTCGTTTGGCGGCATGACACCCCCCACAAAAATCAATATTGACCTGTCCTTTACACTCCCACCACCCACCCCACCACACGACTGCAGCGCCACCATGCGGACGTGGTTGATTTTTGCTGAAAAAACGTTTCAATTTCAATACCCTGTATCTCGAAAACGGTGCATTTTAGAGGGTAAGTCAATAGAAACGTTTTTTCATATTTTTGGACGAGCTATCACGTCCTGAAGTCCTGCGCATATATTATGAAACACCCTGTATATGTCATAAGGTTGAGAGAGATCTAAATGATTCACTTTTAAGCCAGGTTGTCCAATAAATTGAAACTTCCTGGGAAAGTCTTTGCAAGGTCCCCAAATGTCAGCTGCATCAGGCATTTTATCCTCCCCCAGAGAAGAATGGTCTTCAATTTCACCATCGCTGGCTAAACTACTTGCAACAGATAAAGCGCCTTCACTTTCGGATTCATCATCTGGAGGCTTGTAGGAATCGCCAGAATCCTGAAAATGTTCTGATTCTGAAGATGAAAAGTAGTGTGTGTCCTTTTGGCATTCAGACCTCGGGTTCGGCGCTGACTGTGGCGTTTGCTGGAATGATGATCGGAGCTTGAGGGGTCGGTGATATCGGAGCTTGAAAGAGCTGTGACGTCGGAGCTTGAGAAGGCGATGAAGCCGGAACTTGCGGTGGCGATGCTGGAATTTGATGAAAAGACGATGGACCAGAATTTTTAGATGACTGTGCGTCAAATCTAATATTTTCTTCGCTCTGGAGGTCATGTTGCATAGTCACTAGTCTTTAGTTATCTGAAACAAAAACTTTCATGTCGCATTTTTGCAAAAATAACTTATATTACTAAGTGCCCACCGGTGGGACATGACGGCTGTATGTAAAAATTTTGTCTACAGACCGTCGTGACCCACCAGTGGGTCACAATTAAAATCAGGAGAAAAAGCAATAAAACACATACTTAGATATTATAGAAACATTTATTAACACACAAAATAAACAAATTATGGTCTTAAATCGAAAAGCACAATGACGTTTCAGCGGAAAAACTTAGCAAGCACTAGCATGATGTCGCGAACGTGTTAAAAAATTTAACACACAAAACACAAATATTTTAACTAATGACCTAAGAGTCTTTAAACAGTTTTTTTTTTAATTTTGCACGTAAATTGTGTATTTACTCACCTGTAAACAGGCATTTCGGAAAAATTTTAAATTGATGGTCACAACATACGAGCAAAACAAAAAAATCTGCATTTGGATAAATAATAGTAGTTTGTGCAACAAGAGTGGATATGGGCAATCTACTCGAATTGTACAGTATATTTTTTCTACGACCCACTAACGAAAATCTACAAATATTTTAGGTTATTAAGACAAAATAACTAATTTTAAAATAATTTATGAACTTTACTGATTTTTAAAATAAATATGAAAAAAACAATAAAAAATTAGTCGCCAGCCGAGAATCGATCCCCGCCTTTTCGCGTGTCCATGCGTCTACGGCCACTTTTACGATTTTGGTTTTAATAGTAGTTTCATATAGTTTAATTAAAATTTAATTTTTTTTTTCAAAATATGGTTCAAATAAAAATAAAAATACT